ATCATCCCACAGTGACATTCCCAGCCAGTGTGAATTTTTATTAGAATTATTAATCTCATATTATAGTAGGGTAATTACAAGGAAATGTTTTGTCACTGGATCTCTTCTCTCTATAGTGAAATAATAACTAGGGAGGTTAAGGATAGACCCGGAATACAAGTTGGTGGTTATAATATAAAAAGCATCCAAAATGTTTAAAACATGCTCTCTATTCAAATATTTACAAACAAGTTAAAACTATACAGTAAAGGTAGAAAAAACAGCAGCTAAGTTGGTCAGCCATTCAACTCGTGGTTTGAAAGTTGTAGGCGCTGGGATCTGTTGCTAAAGCTAGAAAGGTTGAGTTTTGTGCATCATTCTCAACAGGTAGCTAGCCATTGTGCAAAGAGAGATCGAGCCATATCAGGTAAAAACCAAATGCAATGAAATGTATACTTTTTTTTTACCTTAAACCGATTTTAACTATTAACTCATAAGGTTCTTACTAAAAATAAGTGAGTTAGCAGCCATATTTACCTGTAAATTAGGCCATATCACCTTGTGTCAACAAATTTTAGAAATTCTTATGTCTGCATCATCAGCCTGACTAATACGCTGTATATCTTGCCAGGCTTTTATAATTCTTTTATTATTTCCTGGAAAACCATATAGTATTACAGTCATCATCATCATCAGTTTCCACTTCTGCTGCTTAGCATTGTGGGGAGGAACAGTTTGCGATCCATTGCTTGATGGGCAGCAGTTGCTATTGTCATTCTGTGTTGATGTAAAAGATCTTTAATGTCTTCAATCCATGTTTTCCTAGGGTGTCTTCTTTCTATTTTCTGATCTATTCTTCCATATTCAAGTTTTGTGTACATATGGCTGCGAAGTCGACTAGAAGAATGGAATATACTTCCTAGATATTTTAATTCTTCAACTTGTTTCAGACAAGTACCATTCAACCCGATGTGTAGCAGACTAGGAATTCTGCTGACGTGCGTTACTTCAGGTTTGGTATTATTTTTATTAGTAGGATAGAGTATAATTATAATTGAATATGAAAATATATGGCATACTTAAGCACAGATACAAGTACATGAAGTATTTACATATCTCACAAGGACTTGGCCAGCTGGATCAAAATTACAAACTATGTCAGATATTCCACTAGTGAATAAATAGATGACAGTTAATTAGTCACGTTTATGAAAAAATGCATAGTAGCATTTAAGGCAAATAGATGTACATTGTTGAACCATGCATCCGCAGTTGTATTGATTCAAGTCTGATTGACACTTCCCATGATGAAGCAATTCTCCATTCCAACTTCAGCAAATCTGTCTGAATAACATGATTTGAATGATAGCAGTAACATACATATCTTCTGGTTTCATTTTATTCAAATGCCTGGTGAAGTTGTTACTGTAATTTTCATGTGTAGCATCCCAGAATCATTTTCATAACAAAAATGACCTGCATAATTGTATGGATCTGTGATACAGAGAGGCTGAGCTACACCCGGTGGTACACCAGGACCAGGGCACATGCTCGTCAAGACCCGTCTGTACCCCTCTGCTGTCATCTTAAAAACAGATTCTCAAATCAGAGTCTGGTCTGGTAGTCTTAGTTTCAGCTTCATAGCAAACGGGTCACCCCATCTTTGCTCCGCTCCTGTGCCAACGAAAAACACACAGAATGTTTATCACAGTATTAGAATTGCAGTTCATCATTGATGGTAGCAGAAGTCGCTAACAGATCAGCAGTTGCCCACGTGATCAATTTTAATCACATACGGGCACCACAACACTGCACGACAGGCATCGCGCCATTTTCTGAATCTACAATTCACACCAACATGTTGGTCACAGTCGAAAAAACGTTCCAAATGCAATCCGCAGCTCACAGGGTCACGCCATGCATTCAACTCAGAAGCTGGGCAACAAAACTATATCCAGTCTACAAATGGAGCAAAAATGCATCGGCCACCGTCGGGCAGAAGCAAAACATTTGCCTCTGTTTCGAACAGTGCCGCTGCCTAACGTCCATTGAGAGGTGAGGAACCAACTGTGTGCACACAAATAAAATAGATATGTAAAATGGATGTGCATGCAAAAATTAATACCTGGAAAAAGGCCAGAGTCCAGAAGTGGTCAAACAACCAAGACTTTGCACCAGAATTTACAGCAGGTGAATATGAACATGAAAATTGATGAAGCATAGATCTTAATAAAAACTGCACTTTTTAGAAGGATCCCCTATTTGTGCCGTGAGATATATTGGGTATATGGTGCTAGTTCCATATGTTTGGACAGATTGGCACTTACAGGGGGATTTGATGAATAATTTTTTTTCCGAGTTTTTTGTTGATGGCTGTTTGCAATGATACACAGTGCCAACACCTTTTTAGGTTTAATTTTTGTATGATTATTACATTATTATTTTTTAAATTCATGGCCACTTGAACTCAGTTGAAGTCCAATGACCTTGAGCTTGCAAACTCGAGTCTTTTAGTTTGTGGTGGCAAGATTTCTTTCAATGCAATGGCTCTCAACCTTCAATACCGTGACCCTTTAATACAGTTACCTTATGTTGTGGTGACCCCCAAATGATTATTTTCTTTCGTAACTTCAATGAATATGTGTTTTCTGATGGTCTTAGGCGACCCATGAGAAAGAGTAATTTAACCCAAAAATAGAGTTTGAGAACCGCTGTTTTAATGCAAAGCAAAATATTTTGTAAATGTGCCTCTAGATCAGTGTTTCACAAACTTTTTTTTTTTTTAAGTAACAACCCCCCCTCCCCCCTCCCCCTCCCCCAAACTCTCCCCCTTTTTCAGTGAAAAATCACTTAGCACCCCCCCTCCCCCAGGACTCGCCATCATACATGATCAGCAGAATCACCAATCAAGTCAGTGCTCTTGTCCCACCCTGTGCATGTGGCCAAGCCCTCTAAGGTATTTATATTTTTACTCCCCACTACCCTCTGTCCATCAGTCTGGTCAGTTGTCACAGAGTCCTAGTGTTTCTTCTTTGCCTGGAAACATATCCTGTGTAGTAGAACATGGAATGATGCAATGATATTTTTGTACTTCTTACAACATGCTCTGATCTGTAATTTATATGTTCTCTCTAGTTCAGTCTCACATATTGTTTTAAGAGTGTCTGTGGCATTTTAAAGCTGATGTTGCATAAGGTTCCCTGTAGCCTTCATGAGTTCATCTGCCTTTCCATTTCTAGGGATATATAGTGGACTTCAATTCACTGCTGAACTATTTATATTCTTGTGGAATATATTCGGGGAAATTGCAAATAAGACACAGTGGGAAGTCCCCAAACGGCAGCTGTAGACTTTATTCAGGATATCCCTCAATGTCATCTATGATGAAAATGACGTCACTCTTGATGTAGCCAAGAGGGAAAATCGAAGCGCCAAGTCAAATGCGGTGGTACGCGAGTCAGAGTATCTTGTCTACTTGAAGCAGCGCTTAGCGACACAGGCATCCATGAAGGGTACTGTCCCTCTCATACTTGAAAGTCTTGCGCTTTCTCACAGCTTTGATCTTGCTAGCTATAAAAATCAAGACTGCGCATGGCATATGGTCACTTCCCTGATCGCCAAGGACACTCCATTTTGTGTCCAGCAATGCTAACTGTAAAAGTAAGTAAAGGACCCTTTTCCACGCCTTTAGGCATAAAGGACAATAATTATCTTTAATAGTATTAGACAGATTATCTCTAACTGAATTTCCAAGCTCCCTATCATTATGATCAGTTTGGGCTATAAATCTCTTAAAAAACGCTTCCCATTTCGCTGTGTCTATTGTCACTGGCATATCATTATCAGTGTATATATTGCCTGTTGTAATAGGCTGAACCTTGTTTTGCATCTTGTGTGAAATTTCCAAAACCTAACCAGTGATTTATCCCCCCCCCCCTCCCCCCCCCCTCCCCCGTTTCACTCATAACATGTTCCCATTTAACCTTTTTTTGCATCTGCTCCACACTGCTGTAATCTCTCAGATTATTTCACGTCTTGCTGATTTAAGCTAGATCAGAGGTACCCAGCTGGTGCTCAGTGAAGCCCTTAGGGCTTTGTGTGTACTTTCCAGGAGCTGAGTGGTTCCTTCAGAAAAATAAATAAAAATTGAATGAAAGATTAAGAAACAAAAAGTAGAATCAAATTATAGAAATAACCTATCCAAATTACATTCTAAAACAAAATTTTCCATGTTTAATTTTGTGCCTATATCATTTTTCACTTTTTGCAGTCATTAGCTCTAAATTATTGGTCGCCCACTTAAGGAGTAGCAGAAATCAAGCACATTTTTCCAAGTTTTGACATATCATTTGTGTTGGTATAAAAATAAATAGAGTAATATGGTAAATTTCAAAGTGTTTTGAAAAGAATTTCATTGCATGTGCATTGCATAGTTGATATCTCTTTACTTTACATTCTGTGACTCTTTTTATGGTCCGTAACAGAAGCCTAAGGGGCTTGCCACAGAAATTAATTCTGAAATGAGGGCAGCAAGTCACAAATGTTGGGAAACACTGTTAACAACCAGTAATTTTTAATGATCATATATTGGAAAGAACATGCTGCCATAGAAATGTTCCACCTTCAGACATCAACTTGAAAATATTTAATGAAATTGCTAATATTGACTTCAGTACTTTCTATTTGAGAATTATTAAAGAGATTAGAGTTTCCAGTATATGTTCTATAAATAATAGTTCTCTCCTGTGAATGTGGAGATTATGTTGACATCTCATACTCTCTCGAAAGCTTGCAGTCAGTGAAGTAAAGAACTACATCTTTGTTTATTTCTGTCAAACCTGATTAAACTCCTAGCAGATAACATTTGTTATACCTTTGATTTTTACATATCTATATCATTTTTGCCATAGTTATGTTTTTTCTGTGTGTTTTTTAAAAAAATATGTGTATCTATATATGCATACACTTAAAAAGTGTAACTATAATTTTTCAGATAGCAAATCACATTACATCTGTCTATAATGACAAGCCATTTGATTAGTGGAAAAGAAGCAGTACCATTCAGCACAACACACAATATTGGTAAAAGTAAAAGAAGACATGGAAAAATAGGCGCTGGGCTGCACAAGTATGCAAAACAGGTAATGTTAATTACAAATCACAGGGATTTTATGTCTGCATTTTGCATTGATTTAGGGTGGTCATTATTGCCAGGCAAATTTAAATATGCTTTTTACTTTCACATTGTGTATATAAATTGACAGTTGAAAAAAAAAGTGGCACTAAGACAGTTTTCAGGCACCGGCAGAGCTGGAGACTGAACAAATGCTGGTCAGTGACTCTTTTCACGCACAACAGCAAAACAGGAGCTGTTGGCTCTTTTCACACAACTGGCCATTACTGTAATCTCATGCAGCATCTGAAGTTTGTTTTGTTGCTTCTCTTTATGTCATCAGTTTGCTGGTTTGTTCTGTCTTTTACAGAGTGGCTTCCACTCCATCTTTGATCTTTCTGATTCGAGTGAAGAATGCTTTCCCAGCAGGTTATCCAGCTTAGTAATTATTTTCATGGCAGAAAGAGCTTTCAGCTTAACCTGCCCTTTGCTCTTTTGTAGGCACTTGACTGTGGCTGGAAAGGTGTCATAATCTACTTGCTACTGTTATTGAGTTGGTTTTCCTGTGCAGGACACCATGTGCTGCATGGTAAACATTTCTTTCTTGATTGTAGATTGTACAAGATTGTGCAAGATATGCTGTCTTGAAAAGGACATTATGCATGATATGCTGTCTTGAAAAGGACATTATGCAAGATATTCTGTCTTGAAAAGGACATTATGCATGATATTCTGTCTTGAAAAGGACATTATGCATGATATTCTATCTTGAAAAGGAGAGTTATGATATCACTCTTTGGGAACTACTGTGTCTGACAAACGTTTCCAGAACAAGATAGACTGGCTGGTTCTGCACAGCTTGGTAGTGAATTGATGCATGACAAGCTGGATCTTGTAAGGACCCTTTAGGGGCGAGTGAACAGTGCAGAAGCACAGATAGATCACCATGACGAGAATGGTACTGTGAGGGATGATCAGGGGATCTAGACTGATAAGCTCTCAATCAAGGAAAAGGTGAGACGGATATACAATCAGACTGCTATTGGTACCATTGAAATTAGAACTGTGCACTTGCTGCTGAAGATGGGGATGGAGCGCTTTATGGGAATGTCCCAAGTGCTGTAATGTCGATTCTTAATTAAACATTAAATAGACAAACATTAGCTCTCTGTGTGCCTGCCAAAAAGGATCCACAGAGGATGCCTGCGTGCGAGTGGGTGGGAGGAATGATGCCATGAGGTCATCACACATTTGAGACTACAAACATTCCATGAAACTAACTAGGAAGGCTAAACTAGATGAAAAAAATGCTAGAAACGCTTGTCAGCAGAAGAAAAAAAACATATTGCATCTACGCTGTGAACAGGCAGAACACATTTGCGTCTCTCTGACGAATGATGATGAAAAGGATTTTTAGTCTTAGTGCCAGATTTGATGTCATTTTATGCAAAGCACATTGCAGTTTTAATAACTAGTGTTATTAAATGAACTATTAATTTTATGATAAATTATATTGTTAATTTATAATAAACCAATATATTTCTATATATAGTTCTTATTGCCATCACTCTATATTTTCTTAGGTCTTCCACTCGCTCTATACCTGTTGTAACGTTTCAGTGTGGCTTGCTGTTGTAGATAGTACCAGGGCATTCTTGTGAGGTGTCCAAACCACTTCATTTGTTGTTCTTTGATGACCTGTAAGATTGGCTTCATTCCTAGCATTCGTCTGATTTCGGGATTTCATATTGTCTTTCCTTGAAACTCCTGCAGCTCTTCTAAGGCATTTCATCCCTGTTGTCACAATTTTACGTTCATTGGAGGATGTGAGTGTCCACATTTGGCACTGATAGCATAGTTTTGGACAAAAAATTGCTCTGATAAGATTCACTTTAGTACTCCGGGGTATCTGCTTGTGTGTCAACATTGGAGATAGTTGCCCTATTACTTGATTAGCTTTAACACATCTTGAGCTAATTTCTCTGTCCAGTTTTCCATTGGATGTGAAAATTGTTCCCAAATACTTAAATTCCTCTGTTTGTCTTGAGGCGCTTTTTAATTAAACTATGAATATTCGAAGACAGAGGGAAAACATAACACTAGTTATTAATAATTAATACTGACTACTTAGAAAACTATATTTTTTGATCTGTGGAGGAATCTAGTCAATTGTATTGTTATTTTCAGTCTACCAAAAGAAATGGCACAGAGGACTTTGACAGAGTAATACAGTTTCTCAAGACTGCGAAAGGACCACAGAAAACTATTGCTATTGCCAAAGCCTGTGGTTATGAAAGCAAAGGACAGATAAACCCAACTCTCTATAAAATGGAGAAAAAAAAACTGGTAGAAAAAACACAAGAAAGGCCACCTGTTTGGAGTTTGTTACCTGCCGGCATGAATTTGCCCATTAGTGCCAGTAGCTTATCTCACAGAGGTTTTCACCATTCACACAGCCCTAGCAAGCAACAGCAAATGCAGCATATCAATATTAATAATCATTATCCTGGGAGAGGTAACAATTATAGGGGTTTCAGGGGACGGAACAGGGGAAGGAACAGGGGGTCACGAGGTTTCAAGCAAAACATAAGTAATGAGGCTAGGTTTAGGAATAATACACTCATTGATGCTGAAGCTAGATCATCTCCAAGAAGTGAGTTTTCAAGAAATGAGTCGTTTTCGCAAGGTCTCCTGTCTTCAAAAGATGCAGCTTTGGGTAGTAACTTGTTTACAAAATCAGTCAATGACACAAATGCACCAGGAGCATACAGGGTGGTGAGTATTTAAATGTACTAATTTTTCAACATGATGATTCCTTAAAATTACCAGAATAATAATTTTTAAAAAAATGTCAAAGGCAGGCATGTGATATTGAAAAGTGTTTAGGGGGCCATTATCAATAAATGTCATAATTGTGATTTAACTACATGTCTACTTGCAGGGTTATATTTAGAAGAATACAACAAACTACATGTCTACTTGCAGGGTTATATTTAGAAGAATACAACAAACTACATGTCTACTTACACGGTTATATTTAGAAGAATACAACAAACTACATGTCTACTTGCAGGGTTATATTTAGAAGAATACAACAAACTACATGTCTACTTGCAGGGTTATATTTAGAAGAATACAACAAACTACATGTCTACTTGCAGGGTTATATTTAGAAGAATACAACAAACTACATGTCTACTTACACGGTTATATTTAGAAGAATACAATAAACTACATATCTACTTACACGGTTATATTTAGAAGAATACAATAAACTACACACCACATCTGGCATAGTGTATTCATTTATTATATCGATAAGAAAGTCAAGCATCCTTTTCCCACCTTTGTCGCATCTGGCTTGGATTGATAGATCTGTATTTTGATAGACCACTCGGTACTTGATGGGATTAGTGTCACCATCATGACAGCCATCTTTACTTCCGAGGACATTGCTAATTTTAAGAGGGTCAAACTGCGAGCCAGTGTCAGTATTTTGAAGAAACAAAATATCTGCATGATGCAGATTTTAACCCTTGTCCTTTGGATCAGCAAACGGGCATTTAGCTACTGTGCTACCACGACTCCCTATTATATGCCTATTTATATACAAATATTATGCGGTTTTGATTCAAGTGATTGGCTAAATTTTCATGTCTTCAAGCCTGTCAGTGATGTTTTTTTTTTTTTGCACAAGTTTTTCAATATCATGCATTATTGTCTGGCCTGCTCTTACTTAAATTACTGTTCAGAAATGTTTGTTAGTGAATCTGGACCTTTAAGCTGTGTGTTTTTTTTTTAACTTTTATAATAAAGAAAAATTATTAACATTTTAGCAGTAATATTGTGTATTGTGACGACAACCATAAAATGCAGCATGAAAACATTAGAAAATGGGACGTGACTCAGACCACACTTCACTTAATTAATGGTTGTGTGTAGCCAGAAGAATGCTTAGAATACCTTGGACAGCTAAAAAGAGCAACCAAGAGGTTTTGAAAGAGGCGGGAGCCCGAAGACAACTTATCACAGACATCAGAAGGAGACAGTCATCATTTTTCGGCCATGTTATGAGAAGAGGGAAAATAGAACATGTTGTGACCACTGGAAAGATATGTGGAAGGAGAGATAGAGGAAGACAACGAGAGAAGATGCTTGACAGTCTTGTTGCATGGCATGGAGGTGTGTCGGCACACGAACTGATACATGCTGCAGGAGATCGCAGATTATGGAGAGGTATGATCGCCCAGGCCAGTCGGCAAGGCACCTGATGAGGATGATGATGTGTAGCCTATGGCCACAGGTTTAACATGTCTAATTTCTCTAATATGTCAGACCTGAAAGCAAAAAACCCATCTTGCTGTTTTAAATTCCGCATCATCCTGTTTCCTGATTAATTTTTCAATGAAAAAAAAATCTTACTTTTAAAGTTTTACTTAACTCTTTGAGTACCAGGGGGTTTAGCCTGAGAGGCCCTATGAGTGGTAATGAAATTTTGAAATGTCACAAGTGTAAAACATTGAAACAGACCATACTAATTCAACTGACGTGCAATCTTCACATATTGTACATCAAAGTAACCAGGGATTGTTGAGGAATAATATTAGAATACAGTAAATAAATTATGTAAAGTTTAATATTGGTAAATAAACAGATGGTATGTTTAGAGAAAATAGTCAAATTAAATAATAAATTTTCCATGTACCACCATGGCACTCAAGGAAAACTTGATACATTATATTCCAAAATGAATCACAAATGAACATAGTAATGTATAAATTAAATATAAACACAATCTGTCCATTAAATCTCGTTCAAGATAAACTTGTAGAACTTCATAACAGAGCACCATTTTTTGGTAAATAAAAATGACTTCCGAAAACAGAATTTTCACAAAACGGGAGCTTTATAAAACACTCAGTTTGCCCATAATTGTATAACCTGTATCCCAAATAATATGGGAATCGCACCAAATTTAACTAACAATGAAGACAGTTGCTTTTTTCACCAATATTAGTTCTCTTTATACCAGCTGACATTGTTGTTGTACACTTTGCATGACTATATATATCAGAGCTATCCTTCACTTCTTTGTGTTAACAGTGGAGATAGTTGCCCCATTACTTGATTAGCTTTAACACATCTCGAGCTAATTTCTCTGTCTAGTTTTCCATCAGATGTGAAAATTGCTCCCAAATATTTACATTCTGAAACAAGTCTACTTTTTTTTTGTGTAGCTTCAAAAAAATCTGATAAACACATGTTTTTTATGAGGCCTCTAAATTCATAAATCGTGTTGGTTTGCATAAAGAAGTCTGCTTGGAGGCCAAATTGTTTTCACACAGAAACTTGGTTAACTCGGTAAAGCTCACAAACATGGTATGATAGGTCTAGCATTATATAACCAGTACACCTGAGTGCCTGCAAGAGGCCTTTACCTGGCATTTATCTTGTTGTCTTGCTCTTGATCATTTGCCATAATAAAAAAAAAAGTGCACAAATCTCTGGGAATATCTAGCACCCACATTCAGTATAAGTAAAATAAGTGAAGGTCCCTTTTCCACACCTTTAGGTATATAGGGCTAGACCTATATTTTATAGACCAATCGGCACAGGATGGGTGATGGGGTCAGCATCACGTCGGCCACCTTTACTTACCCGGTACCCACTCAAGGCTGGGTCGACCTGGGAGTCAAGGTCATTGTGGGGAAAAAACCAGCTCCCCAGGGAGGGAACCCATGACCTTCCGATCCGCACACGAGTGTCTAGCCGCCACACCACGGCGACTCCCACATTCAGTATGCAGAATGCTAATTATTTCTCTTGAGCACCTATCACCTAAAACACTGACTGTTTCACACATGATCAGTCATTGTTTATTAGAATCCCCAGATTTTGCACACCATTTATCTGAATTGCTAGAAAAAACGTGTATTAACTAAGAATCTTATTGGTACATGCATGCACATAAGTAAGTTTATAATAATGTTTTTGTATTTATCTTAACAACCTTTTTTAATATTTTTGAACCAGCAACACATGGAGTACAGGAATGAGAAAAACACGAACACAAAGTTTGATAGGAAGGTTTTGCCTTTTCATCCTAAAAGGCAACCTATTATTGAGCATGGAAGTGCCAGGGATCATACTAATCTATACAAGAGGGGACATTTGGAAAATACATTATCATCTTCAAATACATTGCTCGCTAATCCAAATACACAGAATTATATGGAATCTGAAACATCCTTGCCGTTTGACAAAAACCTTGAGAGTGATTACTCTGACGATGAAGACTATGATCTAAACTTCAGAATTTCAGATGTTGTATCCATAAGGGATCCTGATTTCAGAGCTGAAATGCAAGTTTTAAACAGTAGGGATGTTAAATCTGAGGCAGACATTTGTGAAGATGGTGAAGGGTGTAACACACAGAATCAAGAAATGACAGTTATGTGTGATGCAGAAGAAACTGATCACGAGGAAACTTTGGTAGAAGATAGTCATTTTGGAACTACTGTTATTCCAGAAACAGATGCTGAAATAATCCAGAAAGTAATAGATTCAGACTTATTAAAAGTACTTGACACAGTTCCTTTAAAAACTACAACCAAGAATGCCCTTGCATTAGAACTTAATATGGCTGAAGGTGATTTAGAGAGACTGCTTGACATTTGTTTTAAAAAAAATTGGATTGATTATTCAGCCTTTGGCCATGTAAGGCTCACAGCAACCGGAAGCCAGTTTTTGTCACAATTTAAACCGCTTGAAAAAGACAGTATTTTACAGTTAAGTAACTCTCGACCTTTATTTCCAGATGAGATTGTGAAAAGTAGTTCAGGTTTTGAAAACATACATGCTGTGGTTAAGAAACATCCGGATGTATTGAGCATTTCAGATGTGTCTAATAATATGCAGAATTTTGCTTGTGCGAGCCAGAATAACAACAATATCATGTCAGACCAGATGAAATTAACCCAAGAGATACATTCAGAAGGAAAAATGCAGATGCCTTGGTTATTGCCTAAGGCTTCTTTGGTAAGTAGTCAAAAATTAACTTCCAAAAGGGAACTTGGTGCAGAGACATCACTATCATCACTGCCATCCACCCCTGGAGACGTTGTTTCGTCACCAAGGCAACCTTCATATGAGCAGCCTTTGTTTGGAGCTGATAAAGTAAACTTTCAAGGACTGGAAAATTATACTTTTACAGACTTTTCAAATACTGGAATGCTTTCTTTGCCGTTTGCCTCCTTCTCATCTCTGCAAGAACCAGTCCAGCAGAAACGGCCTCCACTTCTTACTACTCCTGATATAAGAGGATCCAGTAGCTTTCTGAAAAGCTCACCTAATGTTGGAAAAGTTCCACTTTTGGTAAGGTAATTTCTTTCTTGATTAAACATACTTGTTTGGTTTCACCTCCGAATATTGTGTATATAAACCAAAAAGCATACTTTTATTCTTTCCAGAAAGGATTTAAAAATTAAGTCAATGACTCCAGTGTTATGTAGTTGTGGTCACTTTCTGCATGATGGAGACTAATGATGTGGGTTTTTTTTTTTAAATTATAAGAGTCTCTATGTTTTGTATACATACCTTCTCACCTGTGAGTATTTTTATGGGTGATAAGATAAGACTGGCCGGTTCTGCACCACTTGGTGGTGAACTAATGCCATCGGAATTGGAACTCTTTGTTTGCTACTGAAGATGGGGACAGAGTGCTTATGGGAGTGTCCCGAGTGCTATGATGTCAGCATAGGTGATAACAGTTATAGGAATAAAGGAAGGCCAAAAAACACATGGGGAAGAGAACTGGAGAATGAAGTTAGAAAGATGGGGAGGACATGTAATGGCGAAGGATAGAACGACTTGGCATGAGTTGGTTGAGGGCCTATGCTCCATTGGGGGATAGAAAGGCAGAAGAAGAAGAAAATAACAGTTATAAACATTAGTTTGCACCAAACGGCTTTGTCTAGAAAGGAAGTCATAAATCAGTGCTCCAAAGCATTGTAGGGTTATTCAGAATTACAAATAGAGCCATTATTAGCAGTAAACATGCTTTGAAAAGCTTCTCAGCAGTAACTATGCATGACAAGAAGCTGAATTTATACCTCCATAACTATTGAAATGTTTTGGGCAAAAAAGCTCAGAGGAAACGAACAGAGAACATGCACACAGTTTGACACCATGGCATAAAGGAACATCTATACCACAGAGAATTAGCATGGGGCAAAGGTTTTCTCTGTGATGTAACATCACAGGATATGGATAATAAGATAATGACAGTAGTCAAGGTTTCAACTTCACTTCCTATGGGTCACCCTATAATTGCTCTTTTCCTGTGCAGGTGAAAACCACACACAAATGCCCGTCGTTTTCCCATTTGAAAACTAGTAAAGAGGCAGTTAGTCTCAGTAAAATCCAGAAACATGCAGACACAGTAATGCAAAAGACTCATAAGGCTGTCACTAGAGTTGCCAATACCAATCCTAATATCATTCTGTCATTATTAGTTTGTTTCATTTGTTTACACAATTTTTGTATACCCTAGTGTGGTCATTTCATAGTCAGTTCATTAATTTGTTGTTGTTGTTTTGTTTCTAATTTTTTTCTGCTGCTGAAGACCAGTCGCCACAAATTCCTTTTTTTTTGTAATTTGTTCTGTAAAGCTGACCTATGTTTTATGTTTTCTAATTTGTTTTGTAGACTTAATTGCGTAAGATACTTTGTCAGCTTCAGTGCAAACATGGTTATCCACTATTTTCTGAATATCACCAAACAAACTTTCATAAAAAGTTGGAAAAAAAAACAAAGTAAAGGACCCTGTTCCACGCCTTTAGGCATATAGGGCTAGACCTATATTTTATAGACCAACGGCACAAGATGGGTGATGTTGTCAGCATCACGCCGGCCGCCTCTACTTCCCGGACTGCACCCGGCACCCACTCAAGGCTGGGTCGACCTGTGAGCCAAGGTCATTTTTGAAGAGAAGTCCGGCTCCGCCAGGGAGCAAACCCACGACCTTCCGATCCACAGCGCTGGTCTAGCTGCTCTGCCACGGCGACTCCCAACAAACTTCCATGGTCACAGATAATTCCACATGAAATGCACTCAGTAGTTTAGGCAAATGTGAAAGTTGCATTAATTAACTGGCCAAAAGCTGTCTGTCCACACGCCATATTGGACTGAAAGTCAGAAGAAGAAATGCTACTGGCTACTTCCATATATGACTTATTGAGATCCTTAACATAATGCATGTTCTTTGTAGCACTGTTGAGGATCCAAAAGTGTGTATCAGAATTACATTCTTTGGTAGGTTTTTAATTTTGATAAAAGCATGGGCTGCTTTAATTTTTTTGGGGTGATGGAGTAAGGGGGGGGGGGGGGGGGAATTTCCAACTTCATTTATGGTCTTCCACTGGTTTTATACAAGGAGCTTTGAGCTTTGCAAAAGTTTTTAACCTGACTGTTCAAGAACAACAGGAAAACAAGTTCAAACTAGGCACATTAAAATGTTCACAATAGAACACTGGATTTACAAGTATCTTTGTTTCTGAAATACTGCATGGCATAAGACAGCACAATAACTGGAGCTGGTAGCACAGTTGGAATGCCAGACAGAGACTAAGGCTGGGGTAAAATGCCAGATGTTACAGGGACAAACACCAGTGTCTCATGATTTCTGCCCCTAATATGATTTTGTTAAGAAAAAAAAAAAGATGGGCAGTTTATAGGTGTTGCCACTCAAGTGTTGCTGAACTATAATAAAGATCTGGAATTCGTCCACTGAGTGAAATAACAGAAAGGCACCAAGTGTGGAGAAAAGCATTGATTAGAATTGAAAAATTACATTTGTGGAAATAGATTGTACAGTACAATCGATTGAGAAAGCAGTACAACTTTAAACAACAGACTGAATATGTGAAAACATATGTGTACTTCTCTCTTCTGTTGGTACATGAACAGAATAGGATATGGGGAAAATTGCTATCAATCATTACAAAAGTGCCAGTCAGGAAATATTTTGTCACCCATGGTGATAATAGATAAGTTCAATGATTGTGACCACCAATCTAAAATTCCAGCATTCAGTGAAAAACCCTGGGCTTTCTAACACCTGTCACACATAGTAGAATGTTAGTTTTAGAAATGATTGACAGTACATGGGAAAGACATGTTGACTAATGCCACAAGGAAAAGACTTTAAGAAGGAGTTTAGCATTATTATCATATCTATGAAGCTAGTAAAAATGTCCATATACAATTTCTGGGTTTTAGAAATTTCACTCATTTTTGCACACGTTTAGGAAAGTTGGACAGGGAGGGATGAAGAGAGGAAGGAAGAGGAAAAGAGAGCGAGAGAGATAAAGAGGCTGTATCAATAAGTGAATGAGGAGGAATGAAATAATAGAAAAAGTCTTTTTTCCTGCTTTTGTTGTTGTTTGTTTTGCTTTCCTATTCTGGCCACAGATCATTGAGGATATATAATTTGCACTAGTTTGATTATATGTTGAGACATAACATTGTAAAATAATCTTTTTTGTTTTGTTGATGTTGTTGAAATAAGCCATGTCCTGGGCAACCTGCACAGCACTTGAATCAGCAGTTACAAGTACGCCAGCAAGATATACCCACAAATCTTCAGATCAGTACTGAGAGCTTTGCTGCCTTAAATAAAAACCCCATCAGTGCATTCATGGAATATGGTCAGTGTAGGCATACACCTGCTAGAATAGAAGTCTTAAGCCAGAGAGGACCACCTCATAAGCCTGTGTAAGTAGGACCTTCATATGTCTCCCACATTTCACAGCATTATGTATCATATTGCAGGTCCTTCACAGAGTCAAAGAGCGTGGCTGTCATCACAGCCCTCCTAAAAGAAACACGCTTCCCCACCTCATACAGTTTTTCTGCCTAAGTTATTTCCTACATCCTGTGTCCTGGTCAGCCTCTGCCTCTCTTTCCTGATACCATATCCACCGTTACAGTTCCCCCCCCCCCCCCCCCCATCCTTTCCCCCAAGCCATTGCAAGCCTTGATGTGGCCTTCAGTACTTTAGTTTCTGAGACAAACTACTGTTTTCAAGCCAGTTTTCTTTTGTGTTCAGATCTTTTAGAATGTTAATATATCATTTTATTTTCTCGATCCATGGTAATTCACAAATCTCTCTGCAGCATTTTTATTCAAAAAGTTCAATGTACATAGACAAAAATTCTTTCAATGCATGAAGTGACCAAAACCCTAGTATTGCCTGCTTGCTAGGTAAGAGGCAGGGGATGTCCTGAAGAAGTCCATACACTTGGTGCCACTCTTTCTGCTAACCATATGTTTCACGTTTGTGACTGCAAAACCCGCAATCATTCAGCCTATTGACATGTAGGCCCACCTTAGGCTTGAGGTTTTATCGGGGTTGTCCACTCAATATGCACTGTATTTTGTGCCTCTTCGGTCACGAACAAGTCTTGACTGTAAAAGGGTTTTTCTGATCAAGGGACTTAAATCTAAGTGTGTCCCTTTCACCCTATAAGCACAAGAACTCATATGGCTAGATCATGCTCTCAAGAGAACAACTGATGTGTTGCACCGTCTGAAAGATCTGACATCTACAGCCTTGGATCTCCCTGACCGTTACGATATATTGCCATGCCTTAGGCGCATTCATATTGTTGGTAGGATGTGATGTAAACATAGACTGCAAGAAACACCAAACATGTATTGGTTACACAAACATGCACAGAAGAAGAAGAAGAAGCAGCAGCAGCACAGCACAGCACAGCCCAGCACAGCACAGCAAACTAAACTTCAGTGAGGCTTCCAGCACTGCAACACATGTTCATCATGTGTTTGAACTGGTAATTGATGGGGTGTAGGTCAAGAAAACTGATGTGATAACGTGAAATATTAGTCTTCATATTACACAGCAGCCAAATGCTTTCATACAGGATGCAGGAAGGAGAAGGTCTTAGATGGTGCTCAAAAGCCCCAGTTTTAATCTTTAGTAATTGTGAGATAGCCCACAACTCACATCCAAATATTACTACAAGTAAGATGTATGCTATCCTGCCAAGAGGTTTGGGCAGTTACTGGTCATTTGAAGATACCTTTTCAAATGCAGCTACTTTCACTTTTGATGTTTATGAGAGGTTCTAGAAAAGACTGGAGGCGGTTGTGGCAGCACTGGATCTTGAGGATGCATACAATCGAGTCAGATATGATATTTTTATATCTGCTCGGAACTATCCCAGGGCTCTGCAATTCCAACAGTTCTCTTTAACAATTTTGCTGCTATGGACGTGTGTATATATATAATATGTGTGTGGTGTGTGTGTGTGTGTGTGTGTGTGTGTGTGTGTGTGTGTGTGTGTGTGTGTGTGTGTGTGTGTGTGTGTGTGTGTGTGTGTGTGGTGTGTGGTGTGTGTGTATGTGTGTGTGGGTGGGTGGGGGTGGGTGGGTGGGGGGTGGGTGGGTGGTGGGTGGGTGGGTGTTGGGTGGGTGGGTGGGTATGGGTGGGTGGGTGGGTGGGTGGGTGGGTGGGTGGTGGTATGGGTGGGTGGGTATGGGTATGGGTGTGTGTGTGTGTGTGTGTGTCCCCCCCCCACCCCCCCCCCCCCCTCCCCCCCCCCCCACCCCCCCCCCCCCCCCCCCCCCCCCCCCCCCCCCCCCCCCCCCCCCCCCCCCCCCCCCCCCCCAGTAGACTGCTAAAGACGTATTAATACGTCTCCTGTTTTCTGTGCCAACACTGCTAAGGACGAATTAATTCGTCTTCGACTTTTCTATCAGATTTCTAAGAACCGTAATTCTCAGGGGTGAAATGGCAATACACATTAGCAAATCTGATCAAACTGACACTTTTACATAAAATTAAAACCCTCAAAACATGCTTTTGGTGTATTTAGATGCATTCCACATTATCTTGTTGATTTGTTACCATAGAAGTGTGGTCGGTTAACAGTGTGTTCTTTGCCCTGAAATATAATTCTGGTTTTGCGTTAGTTTCCTTACAACAACCAAAAAAAAAATACAAAATAACAAGAAAATTGGTTAATTAAAGATGATGAAGAATTAATGGAGTTTCTTTCAAGGAGAAATAGTAAGGATCACTTTGAAATGTGTGAGTTATGAGTTGGGTTATCTTCACACCACGCTGGCGGACATGTGTACTTCACGCCTTGAGCAAGACTGACCATCTGACCCAGCCATCTACATTGACTGGATTGAAATGGATCTTCAGTGATCAAGAAGACAAAAATAAGAAGATATGGTCTTGTACTGACATGATGATGATGATGATGATTAAAATTATTGTTGCTTGCATACTATAGATATGAATGTGTCTGTCTATCAAAGTGTACAATACTGGTCATATTTTCAGTTCTAATTTTCATATGAATTTCTAGTCTAGTTGGTATCACGCTTGCCTTACAATCAAAAGGTCCTGCGTTCCACCCCTACATGAATTTTTTTTTTTCAAATGTAAATTTTAAATTTCAGCTCTTAGCATTTTTTGGCAATGCATCACCAAAGTATTAATTATTTATTTTAGAAAAAAAAAGTAATAACATGCAGAATACAATTAGTTATGACTAAAGAGGTAGATTTATGCAGTAGATTGGGGGAAAAAAGGGGGAGGGGAGGAAGAATACAAATTGTCTTGCAATATCCACCTGCAAGGAATGTAAAACGGTTGAAACATTCAAAGAATGTTCCTGCTGACGATCAGAAGGCTATTGTTGTGTTCCTGCCAACGATGGGAAGGCTGTTGTGTTCCTTCTGCCGTGGAGTTTCTACTACCTATGTGGTAGCGGTGGAGATAAAGATAGACTTAGCCGAGGTTGCATTTTCTTTCACTATCCCGAGTGAAGCCGGGCATATAAGTTTAGTTTCTAGTGTTTCCTTTCTGTAAATGTGTTCCTTGGTGTCGCCATAGTACATCTGATTTGTCAGCACTCAGGCCATCACCCACTTACCTGGGGTAATATTATCAGGTGTACTAAATAGACCCCTTACAGCCAACCTATCTTTTGTGTTTGAGGATAGAAAAGTATTCAGCACAGGGGGGATATTCAGCGGTGAACTAGCTTAGCACAGTGGTAACGTTCGCTGGCAGAGTATGTAGCTGCAAAAGGGTTAATGTATATACAAGGAAGATTGCAGAACTTGAAGCACCAGGAGTTGGAGGGATATTGACATTTGCAAATGATGTTCTTGCGTATAGGCAGGGGAGAGATAGACAACAGACACTCCAAGAACTACAGGCAATTGTAGACAAAGTGACTGACTGGTGTACAGATTTGGGTACTGTCATCCACCCAGAAAAGGTGGCTGTTTTATGGTGCTCCCTGGAGAATAGAATTGAAAGAGCTGATGTCCCAAGCCTCACAGTTAATGACAGAAACATACAAGTGAAAGCAAACTGAGGTACCTCAGTATCACTTTTGATAGAAGCCTGTCCTTCAGGGATCATGTGGAGGTAAATGTGAAAATACCTAAAAGGACTCAATGCACTTAAGATTATGCAAGCAATGGACATGGAACAAAGAATGCTGTTCACAATGTTCCAGCATGTGATCCTCTTGGTTATAGATCATGGACTTGAAAAACTTGCCTTATCCAAGAGCCAGCTGATATATAATTGCATAGTTGACTGTTACAGGTAAGCTCAGAGTACGGCATGTCATATATCAGAGTAGCGGCAGACAAGTACCTCCTGCAAGAAGCCCTAGACTATAAAAAAAAAAAGATCTTGGATGGCGCAGACTAAAGCACAATTAGATATGTGTGCAGGCTTGATAATATTGGATGAGGAGAGGAGTGAGTGAGAGTGTCTGAACATCACAATCAGATATGTGTAGGGTTCTAATCACATTGGGCTGTGAGTGCAGGGACTGGAAAGGGGGAGCTACAGAATCAGAAGTTCAACAATTGACTCATGACAGTTCTGGCCCAGGTGATGTGATTATCTATACAGATGGCTCTGTGTTGAGTGGCAGACAAAGTTCATGGGGCTAAGTTCAAAGCTAATGGGCATCACTTAGTGCAATAAAGATTTACATATGACACCAAAACATCTAATTTGAGAATGGTGATAGAGGCAGACACTGTAGTTTTCCGCTGACTTGACAATCAGAGGTACACACATTTCATACTTGTAACTGACTCACAGAGCATATTTCTATTTTGAGAAAGGTAGAGACAGGTATGTTCCAAGAAGAGTGGCAAACATCACTTCAGAAGCCCTGGGTAGTAAGCGCTCTTAGGATGTTTTCTCCAGGAAAGCCAGTGTATATTGGGAAATCAACAGACGGATAGACTGGCTGGTTCTGCACAGCTTAGTGGTGAACTGGTGCATGACAAGATAGATGTTATAATAGCCTTTGGAGTGAGCAGTGAGGCGACACAGATGGATCATCACTGTCTGAGTAGTATGGTGCTGTGAGGAGTCACTAGGGGAGTTAGCCAACGATGAACACTCAGAGGAAAGGTGAGACGGAAATATATAGTCAGACTGTTAATGGTACCGTTGGAATTGGAACTGTGTGTTTGCTGTGAAAGAGGTGGTAAGAGTACTTATGGAAATATCCCGAGTGCTTGCAGGTCGATGCTTAACTAAACATTAAACGTTATCCTAGATATATGAAAGATCTTGACCTATTGTAATCTTTAACTGTATCTCTTTATTTTTTCTTCAGTTTCATTGCTACCTAAATAGATGTATCATTTACATAGAGAAGTTTTACCAAATTACCCTATTCCATACAGTTCATTAACTCTTTGAGTCTCAAGAAACGCATCCTACGTTCATAGGTTCCTACCTAGAAGCCCAATGAACGCATGATGAGCCGATTTTATGACTCTCTTTACTACCCCCTGGGCCTGTGTTGCTAAACCACCTGGGAAAGAGTTGAAGAGCAACAAATTAGAGGGTTTGTTCATTTGACAAGAAACCCTGATACCACCAGCTGCCACACAGAACCACATTAAAGAAATGTAATGAATACAGAGAAGGGGAAGACCATACATAAAATTTGTACTGATGGCATTAAGAAAAGTCTTTAGAGAAATATAAATGATGAGCCTTCAACCTTAGAAAGAGAAAACACACAGAAGATCTTTACATCTTTCTAACCTCCACCTCCACCACACTTCAATGAGGTTACTGAAGGAAGAATAATATTTAAAAGAATGCATACGATAGTCAAAGAAATTCAGAGCATACATTTTAACATAACTGGTATCTTTTCTGGGCCTGTATTATGCTTAAACTTCAGGGACAAATTGTTTGCTCTCATGATTGTAGTCATAATTGTCACCTGCATCTCCTCTGGCTGTTTCAGTTTTACCATTGCTGCTGTGCTTGGAACTAGAGTTTTTCCTGGTATCACAAGCAGTAACAAAAAAGATGGGAAAAAGGATGCTGCTGAACAAGCCATAAGGATACTTATAGCTGAAGGGCAGTACAACATGCCAGTTAATTCTAATGTGGTGAGTTACACCAGATTCTGATTGGGTGTGAGTTAGTCTGAGCTATTGTTCTACACTCGGATACTGCTTTGCCTGAATATGAATTGAGTTGCAGACAAATGAAGTAAATTTCAGAATGAGAAAACTCATTCATAAAATATTATTAATAGCATGTATGATTTGGTATACTCAAACCTAACCTTCATCTTTGTGCCAGGTTATGCGGGTGTTAAAGGGAACGAGTGTGCAGACTATCTTGCTGACACTGCAGTTGCTATGGCTGGCCCAGTACTGGACAGAAGTGATGTTATCAATGCGATGCGCTCCACTTACCGAGGAGCACGCCAAAGGACATGACTCTATATCCCTGTCTAGACTGATGGACATGGTCCAGGCCTGCCTGGATATTAACTCTTGATTGTCTTCTTGGTCTGCATTGTAATCCATGACCATTCAGCTCCCTTGTATACACAGTTTTAACCTCTGTCAGCTGACATTCTCTCAGTATACCCCAATCATTTCAGTCTTTTAACTCACATGATGCCAGTGATTGGTGGTGATACAAATAGATTATGAATTTCATCGTTGCTTCTTCCCCATATTGGTTCCGGGGCCCGGGGGGGGGGGGGGGGGGGGGGGGGAGGACAAGAATAGACCCACTGCCTGCCCAAAAGCATGTCATAAGAGTCGACTAATTGGGAGCTTCCTTCAAAGTTGGAGTACATCTGCGTGAGAGGCAAGGAACCAACAATCTGCATGCAAATGAGTCAGACCTGTTAAATAGATGTACATACAATGGATGTACAACACTTAGGTTCTGGAACAGGACTAGAGTCCAGAAGTGGACAAACAACCAGAACTTTCCATCAGGGTTTACAGCCGGTGAACGCAAAGAAGAAGAAGAAGATTGTTGCTTCTAACTCTCCATTCCCTGCTGTTAGCATCTTTGATGGGTTCAGAGATTTGTTATAAGACTCTTTTTTCAAAAACTTGTAATAAGACTTCATATTTTTTGTTGTGCTCCAGGTTTCAGAACCATAAGAAACAACTGATTTATTGTAAATTGGCTTGTTAGTTCACTGACAAGTTCCATTTTTTAAGGATGAGAATAAGTTTTGTGAACAAAAATATAGATACATGTAAAGCTAATATCATTTAACTCTTCATATAGATAAGCATTCCAGAATCCAGTATGACTCAGTTTGATAAAATTGCGGCATTAACACATCACAAGTTCAACCAGTTAATTGCCACAATTCCTGAAAGTCTTGTTGGCCGCAAAGTTATTGCAGGGTTAATAATGAAGGTCAATGATGCAGACACAGGAACTGTTATTGCTCTTGGTTCTGGTAAGTTTATATTTATGTTTGCTTACATAGGCTGGCTTACTTTGCAATTCTAGTTTTAACCCTTACACTTACGCATTAATAGGGGCATTCGGAGGTTCATAGGGAAACATTTGTATATTACTTTATTATCCAGAACTAAACTAAAATGCATAATGAAAACTATAGTGTGTGTGTAGGGGCGGGGTGTCTGTGTGTAAAAATGAGGGGAAAAATGAGGGGAAAAAAGGGGGGGGGGGAGGGGGGTTGTTGTTGTTGTTGACATTAATGAGATTGAAGAAATATCAGACATCTTGTGACATACAGATGTCACAGGTTTAACAGCAGTCTGAAATAGTCTGTAGTTTGGACAAAGTGGAGGTGAAGAGAGAAAAAAGAACAGTTCTTAAAAAATGATTGCATTATGATTACACCCCCCCCCCCCCCAAGGCAGCAAAAATCAGTGTGTTCTTTGTATAGATAAAAAGTAAAAAAGTAAAGGACCCTTTTCCACGCCTTTTGGCATATAGGGCTAGACGTATATTTTTATAGACCAGTCGGCACAAGATGTGGTCAACATCACACCGGCCGCCTCTACTTTCCCGGGACTGTACCCGGTAACCACTCAAGGCTGGGTCGACCTCAGAGCCAAGGTCATTTTTGAAAAAAGTCCGGCACCGCCAGGGAGCGAACCCACAACCTTCCGATCCGCGTTGAGAGTCTTGCCACTCTGCCACAGGGACTCCCTTTGTATAGATAGGTTGTAATAATTAGGCAACACAGAGTTGAAAGAAAAGAATTGCAGTGTCCAAAGACTCTTTTATTAGACAGCACAAAGAATTAAAATATCATCAAGAAACAAGTCAGATGTCTCAAAACTTTTACTGGCCTGTACTTACAAAAAAAAAAAATCTGAATGCTGGACAAGGAGCAGTGAAATTGTGCACAAGCTAGAGGTAGTTTAAACAAATGTTGAAAATGTCTTGAAAATTGGGGAAAGGAAAAATACATTAACAATGAGGTATTGAGAGCTACTGTATCACTAGATGGCCCATTCTTCAAGGAAGAGACAAATACTATGTATGGGAAATATCAGTAGAAGAGGTAGAATTTATAAATCATTTATCGAGGGGTAAGTAAAGTAAAGTAAAGATACCTTTTCACGCCTTTCGGCGCATCGGGCATATGGGCAGAGCGTCCCATATTTTTACAGACCATCAGCACTGTGGGTAATGTGGTCAGCATTACGCCGGCTGTCTTTACTTTCCCAGGCTAAGTCCATGCGAACACTTCGTAATGCCGGGATGCCGGGTTTGATCCCAGCTGCGGGCCATGCACCTTGCGTTGGTTTCGACAGTGGCATCAAGAAAGCCGACCGTCCAGAAAGCAATGGCAAACTACTGGACGTAAATTTGCCTAGAAAAACCACACAACACCCAGGAGCTGTTGGGGTTGGTTCTGCAATGTCCTGTAAAGGATACGCAACTAACCAATACTGACTAAAAGACAGAAAATGGATTGGGAAGTTTAAAAGTGCTGCAAATAATAAGCTGTTTAAAAAACAAAATGCCAAGTTATCTAATGACACATTTTATTTTAATTACCTGACAGGCAAGTCTGTTTGCATAAAATCTGTTGAAGACCCAGATGCAAAAGAACTGTTAGTTGTTTGGCTAAGCCCTAAGGTATTCTCATGTGCATGTTTGAATAGTTATGCTCATTAAATTACAAAGATTTTGAAAGTCATAATTATGCTCTCTTCAGCAGCTATGCGAATTTTGTGTGTGTGTGTGTGTTTTTTTTAAAAATAGTATAATGTTAAGCAAGACCAGCTCAGTGTAAATAGCCATAGGTTATCTACTTTTCGTCCTTCTTAGGACGTTATTTTTTGTTATTTGAAGCCCCACTCTGGCTTTTGCCAGGGGCCGCAATATAGGCAGGTCATCATTATGGCCAAATGTCTGAACGCGGTTTCTGGGACCTCTCCACGGTGATCCTCATCCGCATGGTGGCACTTTGTGTCATCGGGTGTTTATCGCTTGTGTGATGTCCTGGTGGGGTAAAAAATCCAATCCAATCCAGTGTAAATATCCATTGTGAGGATCCCGGTAATCCTCTCCAGCTGAGTCACCTGAAAAATAAAATACATCAAAATGACTAAAACTGGCATAGTTTATTGCAGGCAATCGCTGCATTACAGGAGACAAACTAAGCCTGAGAGGTCTGACGGTTAATGATAGTCACGCTGAAATCATTACTCGCAGAGGATTTCTTCGGTGAGTGTGCAAGTTTTTATTGGTTTTAAAACTGTTTACACCGTCTGACATCGTAGACCACCATGTACTCATTTTTAGTGTCACCTCAGTGTAACTGATTTAAAGTGTAATTCATTCCACATTATTTGTACTCAACAGCGTAATCATAAGTAAAGCAGTAGATGTGTTGGGGTCTATTTTTGGTTGCTGTTTTCCTTTTTTGATTGTTAATTCATTTAATGAATTGCTTTGTTTAATATGGCAGATTAGTAACAAAATTAATTATAAATAATGTTTGAAACTTTATAAACAGTTAACGAAATTATCTTTTCTGTGAAAGTATTTTAAAGCATTCTGAATATGAAACATTATTTTGGCAGGTTTTTGTACTACCAGTTAAAGACCTATAATCCAAGTAAAGATCACCCTTTGTTCGAGAAGTCACCAACGGGCAAACTGAGAATCAAACATACTGTCACATTTCATTTGTACATTTCAACCGCCCCATGCGGAGATGGAGCTCTCTTTTCTCCAAGGTAAAAATCAGACTAATGTGCTGTAATTCGAGAAACCTGATTATTGCAAAACTTGAGAAGCATTGTAAGTAGTACTGAGGCAGATTGGGCTGTGATCATTAGACCATCACTTATTCTAGACCATAGCACTATTAGTAGTGCTGATGTGATCAGTTTCTATCCTTGTCATATTTCTTTCTTTCCCTAGATAATTCATTTGAACAATTTTGAGACTGGATTGAATCACAGAACTGTGCTGATTGTACCACTATGGAGATTATTTTGTTAAAACAAGAAACTAAATGCTGTTCTACAAATCAGAGTGAGCAGAAGAGGAAGTAAACAGTAACACTAACAGCAAGGCTGCTGTGTCTTCCAGTGCCCCATAAATATATTCCTGAACACCTAATAAGAAATTGAAAGTTTAGAGGCCGTAGAGCTGTGTTCCTTCGTGGAATGTGAGAGTTGTTTGGGACCTCTATGGAAAGAGGAGTAATCTTTTGGCACCTGTATGGAAGGAAAAAAAGAACTGATGTTCTGGCACTTATTTGGGAAGAGAAGGAGTCTACTGGCACCAGTATGGAAAGATAAGGAATCTTCTGGCAACTATATGTGAAGAGAAGGAATCTACTGGCACCAGTATGGAAAGAGAAGAAATCTTCTGGCAACTATATGTGAAGAGAAGGAATCTACTGGCACCAGTATGGAAAGAGAAGAAATCTTTTGGCAACTATATGAGAAGAGAAGGAATCTTCAGGCAGCTATATGGAAAGAGAAGGAATTTTTGGGTACCTCTATGGAAAAAGCCTTCTGACACTTGATGAAGATGTGGAAATAGAAGGAATCTTCTGGCATCTCTGTGGAAAAAGAAGGAATCTTGGAAAGAGAAGGGATCTTCTGGCACCTGAATGGAAAGAGAAAGAATCTTCTGGCACTTCTATGGAAAGAGAAGGAATCTTCTAGCTACTATGGAAAGAGGAGGAATCTTTTGGCACCTGGCATGGAACGTGAAAGAATCCTCAGGCAACTGTAAGGAAAGTGAAGGAGTCTTCTGGCAACTATATGGAAAGAGAAAGAATCTTCTGCATCTGTTTGCAAAGTGGATGAATCTTATAGCATCTATATGGACATAGAAGGAATCTTTTGACGCCTGAATGGAAAGAGAAGTAATCTTTTGTAGGAAAACAGAAGGACCCATATGGAAAGTTGTGTGATACCCTTGGCAGCTTAAACATTTTGATAGTTGCTGACCAATAATTGGCTACCCAGGATAAATATAAAAAAATAGACATCTTACAGTTACAAAATAATGATTGAGACATGTGAAATATTTGTATATACATATCAGGACTCTAATCAGTGCTGTAGAGTGCTGCAGAAAAACAGCAGCTATAAGGATTAATAACCGGTTGGAAACATTTCAGAGCATAAGTTGAATATATAATGAGATCTTTCATGGATATGCAAGAAATTGTGGTTGGTGGTCATAACATAAACAACCTGTGTGGTGCTAATGACAACATCTTGATAGTGACAAGTCAGAAAGAACTACAGGAATTGATAGATACGGTGGTAGTAGAAAGTTATAAAATGGGCCTCAGTCTGAATAATGGAAAGACAGAAGAAATGGCGATTTCCAAGAAATGAAGAGTGCCTAAACTTATAATAAAAGTTAAAGGCATTATTTTAGGACAAGTAGAGAAATTTAGGTATTCCTTGGACAGCTAAGAAGAGCAACCCAGATGTTTAGAAAGAGGCAAGTGCTCGGAGACAACTTATCACAAACAGAAGAAGGAGGCAGTCATCATTTTTTGAGTCATGTTATGATAAAAATAAAATGGAACATGTTGTGACCACTGGAAAGATCTATGGAAACAGAGACAGAAAGACAGCGTGAGAAGAGAAGCTTAAGAACATATTCAGTAGTAGACAGTAAGTTCATGTACAGAATCCTTGAAGTGACAAAACAATCTGTTTGTTATCATAATTATGAATCTGCGACAAACAAACAAAAGGGGAAATAAATATTAACCATTGCTCAGTTATACATTGCTCAGTCCCCCGTGTGGGTTCCGGAGCCCCATTGTGGGGAAAACAAGAATAGACCCACTGCCTCCCCAAAAAGCATGTCGGGAGAGTCGACTAATTGGGGAGCTTCCTTTGAAGTCGGAGTGCATCTGCCGGAGAGGCAAGGAACCAACAGTCTGTATTCAAGAGAATGAGATCTGTAAAACTGATGCATACGCAACACTCAGGTTCTGGAGCAGGACTGCAGTTCAGTAGTGGACGAGCAACCAGAACTTTCCGCCAGAGTGTACAGCTGGTGAACGTGAAGAAGAAGAAGAAGACATTGCTCAGTCATACTTTTGCTAAATTTTATATTTTAGCCCATTGAGACTGAGGAAGTAATTGTTTCTAAGAGAAGTAGAATGCATGAGGGAGTGCATGTAAGGAACAAATAAAAAGAGACAATGAAAAAATGAGAATGTGCTGCTGAGACAGAATGTGTTGCTGAGAGAGAAAGGTGGGGTGGTGGTAGTTGAGTATGGGTGTACACTGAGAAACAGCACTATATTGATGTTGTCTACCACAGCTTTTAATCTCTTATTCAAACATATTTTCTGAAATGTCCACGTGTAAAGATAATATTGAATTTGCTTTGAATATTTTTATTTCTTTCAGAGATGTTGAATCCAATAATGTAACATTAACTGACTCCTGCAGCATACATAGACCAACATTTGAAACAAATGTCCAGGGCGTGCTAAGAACTAAAATGGAAGGAGGTATTTTATTCTGCATCTCCTAATTAAATCTGTTTTTTTTTCTTCACTGTTTTATTTCTCCGTGGAGAACAGGTCCTCGACTAACTCAAGCCAGATTAACCTACCCATTGCTACATCATGGAAAACTTATATCCTCCCCATCTTATTCACCTCTCCTTCACTCTCGAAATGAGAAGTTTCTCTTCTCCATATGTTTTTGGGGGGTTTTCCTTTAAATTTGCCTCTGTGTATTTTAGTGCAAGAACTTTCTAGTTATTAGGGTTTTCCCCAACATTCAGAACCAACATTTTTTCTTCTTCTTCTTCAGCCTTCTGAGTCTTAATTGCTGCAGATATCACCCTCCTCCATTCTTCTCTCTCGTTGGTCTTCTCTTCCCAGTTGGTGATACCAAGTGTTTGCAGATCTGTCTAGATATTATCTCTCCATAATCTTTTTGGTCTGCCTCGTGGTGTACGACTATTTAGCTCCCTTGTGTATACCTCTCTGTCAACTGACATTCTCGCAATATGCACAAGCCATTTAATTCTTTTAGCTCTCATGACGCCAGTAATCAGTGGTGATTTAAACAGATAATGAATTTCACCGTCGTTTCTCCCTCTCCATTCCCCGCTGCTTGCATCTTTGATTGGTCCAAAGATTCGTCATAAGGCTCTATTTTCAAAACATTTTGATATGCTAATCTCTTTTAAGTGTGTTCCAAGTTTCATAGCCAAATAAAAATGCTGCATAAGATCGAAGGCAGGATTGTCAAGAACTTTTATAGTGAACTCTAGTGTTCCTCAGGGCTGTGTACTATCCCCACTTCTTTTTACAGCATACATGAATACCATATGTAAGAAAACAAACTTTAATCATAAAGAATTACTATTTGCCACGACCAGGTGCTTATAGCAGAAAGTACACAGAATGCCTACAGAACCATCTAAATAAAATTAATTACAAAGGGGAGGAATATATTATGAAAATAAACACTACAGTTACAGAGACAATGGTGATAGGAAGACAGAAAGACAATTTAGAAATAAAATTTAAAAAACGACTTAAGAAAAACAGAGGAATTCAAGTATTTAGGAGTAATTTTCACATCCAGTGGAAAACTGGACAGAGAAATTAGCTCCAGATGTGTCAAAGCTAATCAAGTAATGGGGCAACTATCTCCACTGTTGACACACAAGCAGATACCCCAGAGTGAATCTTATCAGAACTATTTTTTTTGGGTCAACACTATGCTATCAGTGCCAAACCTGGACATTTACATACCCTAATGAACATAAAATTGTGACAACAAAGATGAAATGTCTTAAAAGAGCTGCAGGAGTTTTTAAAAAAAGACAGAATACGAAATCACAAAATCAGACAAAAGCTAGGAATAAGCCAGTCTCACAGGTCATGAAAGAACAACAGATGAAGTGGTTTGGACAGCTAACAAGAATGCCCTGGTACTATCTGCCACAGCGAGCCACACTAAAATGTTACAATTTGTATAGAGCGAGCGGAAGATCTTGGAAAATAAAGAGTGATGGCATTAGGAACAGCCTTACAGAAATGAACATCAATCTTTATAGTGCTCTTGACAGAGCTCATCAACGAATGTTACATCTTCCCCCCGACACTTCGCTGAGGTACAAGGTGGAAAAGAAGAAGAAGAAGATTAACTTCTTTGGTTTTCTAAAATCCCTCATAACATTCCAGAAACTATTTCTATGTACACTATCATATGACTTTTTAAAATCAAAACAAAAAAAAACATGTACATCTCTTCTTTATTCCTAGTTTTGCTCTGCTTTTTGCGATAACAGGAATATCTTATCTATTTTTGATCTGTTTTTTTTTTTTCGGAAACCTGCTTGGTAATCACCCAATATATCTTCCACAGAATGGATGAGTAAACTGTGAGCCCTATATAAAATGGCACAACAGGACAGTGAATGGATGATCAAATTAGGTCTAATTATTGCATTGCCGGATGGTGTAATATATATTTAGTTTTCACCTGTGAACATCACATATGTCATCCTAACAGGCAACATTCATCTATGTGATGATGAATAGGGCGGTGACTGCAGTCGAGCTGATTGCAAGAAATGCTAAATATAACACAAAATGTGACTAGAAAGCTCAACGTTGATCTTTCTAGTCACATTTTGTGTTGCATTTAGCATTTCTTGCAATCAGCTCGACTGCATGTCACCTCCGTTGATCTTTCTAGTCAAATGTTGTATTATTTTTAAGCATTTCTTAATGTTCATCTATGACCTGGCAGAATTATGACAGACAGTAACCCACTATATGTTTAGCAAGTGAAAGGTGAGTGGTAGCATATGGAGCAGAAAGTGAATATTAAAATCTTTTTTTTTAACTCACAAAAATGCTATTCAGACAATTAAATTGATTAGACAGGTTTTTGGGGATCGATGTTTATCTCATCTACCAGTATTCACATCGTATTCACAATTCAGAACTGGTGTGGAAACTATTTAATATGAAGCTAGGCCAGGATATTCAGCTATCAGAGTGTATGACCTGAGTACTCTGAACCTGGTAGTTAGTGCCTGTTATGCAGTGATGTCAATTTTAAAATTAATAATCACACATTTTCTGTGACATTGCAGGTGAAGGCACAATACCTGTAGATCCAGAAAAGCCTGTTCAGACTTGGGATGGAATTGTCAGAGGAGAGCGACTTCGTACAATGTCCTGCAGTGATAAAATATGTCGCTGGAATGTTCTAGGCTTGCAGGGAGCACTGCTAGCTAATATCCTAGATCCCATCTATTTGAGTTCTATAACCTTAGGTAATTCTGCCAGTGTATTGTTATCCTTAGGAACAAACTGTTCTTCTACAAGTCCATGCTGTGTGGCTTTAGTAGTCGTCTTTCCGCAGCCCACTGTCTTGTGTATTCTCAGTCATTAACAGACTTTTAAGTGTATCTCACCTTGGGGTCGTGTGGGAAGTTTTGTGCTTCTCGATGACCCTGAGAGTTAGGCCGGCGGTAGCATATCCCAGACAAGTCAAAGGGTGGAGAACAGACGCAGAGACACCCTGTTCCTCCAGGTGACACCCCCAACTTTGTCAAATATATCTGACCCAATTTCTAAGTTCCCTTTTATTATGATCTGTTTGAGCCTTAAATCTCTGCAAAGCTGCCTCCCCTTTCTTTTTGTTTGTTGTCATTGGCATACTGTTATCTCTATTTATAATGCCTTTTCTTGTAGGCTGAACTTTTCTTTGCATTTTTCTGTGTTGTTTCCAGAGCCTTTCCAGTGATTTATCCCCTTCAGTTTTATTTATGAAATGCTTTTTAGATTTGTATGCATCTGCTGCACAGTGCTTGAACTTTTTTACTTTTGTTTTTCTAACCCTTTATGCCTTCTTGACCTCATCTTGTAACCTCTGATGTGTCTTCCACACTTTCTGCAGTTGTTTAACTAATGCTCTGTTTGCCTTCCATGCCTGTTCAACTTCTAGGGTCCACCATGAAGGCTGCACAAAAACAGAACTGGTGGTTCTGTTGAATACCTTCTGTCAAAGGTGTGTCCAAGAAGGACATCTCATACTTCTTATGCGTTCTTGATCTTGCTGGCTTTGAATTTTAGGACTGCATGGCAGATAATCATTCCCATTTTGGAGAAAAAGAATTGACCCAACTGCCTCTCTAACGAGCATGTTGAACAAGGCGACCAATTAGGTGAGTATCCTTCAAAGTCACAGTGCATCTAGCAGAGAGGCGAGGAGCCAACAGTGTATACAGATATGCTAAATGTATAAAATGGATGTGCATGCAAAACTCAGGTTCTGGAAGAAGAGGAACCATAACAAACAACCATAACTGTCTGCTAGAGTTTACAGCTGTTGAACAGCAAGAAGAAGAAGACCATCATTGTTCATACAAAAAACCTCTGCATCTACCAAAGTCTCTACTAGGGTGTATGCTTGAATGTTTTCCCTATTGCTGTCCCATGCTAATTTATGAATATTTAAGAAGCCTGTTATCTGGAATTTCCTCCAAATATTTAAGCCATTCCCAGGGTTCCTTTTTGACAAGAGAGCCCTCAGTGACATACATTCATTCATTCATTCAGTAGCATGTCCCTCGCGGAACCTCGCTGCCATAACAACCCTCCGGAAAACCTTCCTATCCTGAGCAAAATGTCCTGCGTCTGATACACCCATCTGGAGATCATCTGCCACATCCTGCACCCATCTTCTCCTTGGCCTTCCTCTTCCTCTCTTCCCAGGCATATACCCCTCCATTATTGTTCTCTCTAGACTTCCATGACGTTTCAAGTGACCAAAATATTTCAATTTTCTTTGTTTTATTGTCTTTACTAGCCAACCCTCTTCATTATTCAGCTCTTGAAGTATGGATGCATTTGTTCTTTTCTTTACCCAAGATATTCTTAGAATCTGTCTGTAACATTTATATTCAAATGCATTTATGCGCTGTTCCGCTTGTTTAGTAAGTGTCCAGGTCTCACAGGCGTATGTTGCAATGGGAAAGATGCATGCTCTTAAAAAATCTGACCTTTGTAGTTCTATCTGTACAATTCCATAATTTATTCAGTTGTTTTAGTCTTTGAAGAGCAATTGATAGTCGCCGTTTAATTTTTTTCATTGTGTCACCATTGTTGGTAACCAGTGACCCAAGATATTCGAAATTTTCCACCACCAGTGACATACACATTTACTAAATTACAGGTTGTACCGCTTATATCTATTTTGAACCTTTATTGCACCATGATTCGACTGGTCCAGTTCAAGTACTACATGCTTTACTTCTTTTCTCACCAGCAGACTTTGCTCATGTTTTCCCTTTAAAGTCATAACTCAATCGTTTCAGTGAAGGCCCTCTTTGTCTGGCATTGTGATAGATCCTGGCTCCTTCTCTTCATTTCCCTCTTCTCGTCTTCTTCACTCTCTCTCCGTTGCTAGCTGAAGATAAAATCCTTAGGAACAGCTAGTATGTTCTATTACCCTATGGGCCTGGCTTCTGAATCCCTGAATCTCTCCAAGAGTAGCTTTTAAAAGTCTGAACAAAATATGGAATTCTAAATTATATAGCTTTAAACAAATATATTGAAACCTAACGAAACAATTCAAAACAAATGCCGATAATATGTCACAGCACAGTAAAAGAGAGATAACTCACAGCACAGTAAAAGAGAGATAACAAGGACTAAGTAAATTCACTGAAGTATCAATAGAAGAAGATATCTAAAAAGAAAATACAAAATTTTAAGAAGAATCATACTTAGCGTTTTAGAACTCATAGAATCAAGAAGATATGCAAAGAAAGGAAATTTAAGAGATTAGAAAGCCTGAGGTTTTAAGACTGCATGGTTAATGCAGTCTAGTCATGCCATCTTAAATCCTCAGACAGAAGCAGTAACTAAGGTGCAGTTACTTTGCAATGACATTTCTCCTCCTTCCCATATGCAGAATCAGATGCAAGGTAAATTAAATATACTTGATGCCAGATCACAACAGCCAGGACTGAAAATCCATAAAGGGAAGAAAAAGATAATGAGAATAAATCAGGCAAATAGTAATGTGGTTTCTCCTTAATTGTATCCTACTCCAGGATCTGGAGGCGTACATCTATTTTGGCAGTAATGTAGATAAAGATGGGGGAACAGATAAACATATTAAAATATGAATACAAAGGGCAAGAGGAGCTTTCATAGCACTAGGGAATTAGTGGAGGTCAAAAGAAATTAAAAGAGATAACTAATACTGTTGTGTGGAGCGGAAACATGAAGAACAACTAAGGCAGTTACTAATAAAATACAAACATTCATTAACCAGAGTGTGTGCAGAATAGAGGGAATTAAATGGTATGATAGAATAGAATCACTAATGTAGAGCTTTTTGAGAGAACTTAGCATATTCCATTGGACCAATAGGTGAAGAAAAGACACTGGCATTGGATAGGACACACATTGAGAAAACCAGAGAACAGTATAACTATAATGTCTTTGCACTGGAACCCACAGAGGCAAAGAAATGAAGGAAGACCAAAAAACACATGTAGAGAGGAGCTAGAGAGTGAAGTTAAAAAGAAAGGGATAGCTGCATGCGATAGCAAAGGTCAGAACAACTTGTTATGAGTTGGATGAGGGCCTATGCTCCATTGCAATATAGAAAGGCAGAAGAAGAAGAAGAAGAAGGCTAGTGCAGTCACCATGGGCTGCACGTTTAGGATTTTATTTTTGCCTCCAACAGAAAAATCTCTATAACCTTACTGAGATTTCGAACCTGGGTCTGCTGCTTAAAAGCCCAGTGTTTTTTACCATTCGGCCACACAGGGCTCAGGACACTGCAGTGTAAACAAATAGAAAGCATAAAGAACAGTAATTTTAAAACCTTGCACAAGAAAATGAATCAAGAATTGACATTGCAGCACTTTGGGAATTCCCACACTCCATGCGCTCCCCTGTTCTTTGGTTTCACTTGCCAGTGAAGAGTCCTCACGCAAATATTACCAGTTGCACAAGAAAATAAATAACACAAGATGAAGCAAACTTGCATACAAATATGGTATGCTGAATCAAAGAACAGATTCTAAAGGACTAAATGGATGTCTTATGTAGATGATCAGAATAACTGAATGATGAGGTGAAAATGCTATTCACCAGTACTACTTGAAGAGGTTTAGACAACTGGAATACTTTCCCTCTAAATATGCTCAATATTATACTGGAATGCTACAGAAAAGTTCTTGGAATGTCTTGGATGAAGAGGATGAAAAACATCATGCATGAGCTGAATGTCGAGGGATATTGGCTCATGCACAGCATCCTGTCTCGAAAGCTGAGGTATTTTGACATGTTAACCGCCATAACGATCTGGAGAGAAGGGTGATGGAGAGTGCAGTTTCCGGAAAACTAGGCAGAGGCTGACCTTCATGAATGTGGATACAGGACACTGGGGATGCATTAGCTGTGAGAGCACATAGGGCTGGAGAAATGGCTGGGGAAAGAGATACTTTCAGTTGTGACATGAAAGGAATGACATTCTATAAAGGATATGCTGATTGATTGATTGATATTTGACAATGATATTTAGAGGGTAAAAGCTGAATTATAATAACAGAAATGAAGCACTTTTAAAGAAATGTTAGGATCAGAATCAACATTGGGAAAAAAAATACGATTAACAAAAAATGTGCAGAAAAATATCAAATTATTTTGATCAGACTTGTTAAAAACCTATAAAGCAGCAAACCACAATGGATTAGATCTAGCAGAATCAGAGCAAAAGACAGATCTAATAAATGATTGATTAGCAGAACAGACAAAGAATACATCCTACAACCAGACCTCACAAGGGGTCTTTTCCAAGAAAGGCATTGGTAACCTGAAGCTGACAAACATGAAAGATAAAGTTGGGGGGAAAACAGAATTTCCCTAAGTATACAGTTCTTTTTAATGTATATTTGAATTTTTGCAAGTAGCACTACATATGATTGATAGTTACCTGTTATTTTACATCTCTGTAGGTTTTCTGTTTGATGCAGGCCATCTAAGCCGGGCTGTGTGTTGTAGACTAAATCGTGGTGACCCACCACTGGACAGTAGTCTGCCTCCTCCATATCATCTAAATCATCCTGTGCTGGGGCGTGTAACAGCATGTGATGCTACGAGGGAGACTCAAAAAACAAAATCATACAGTATCAACTGGATGATTGTAGATGATAAACCTGAGATTATTGATGGTTGTCAAGGGGCATGTTACACAGGGTATGTAGTTACAGGAACTTTGTGTGTACACTATTTATATTTGAAACGGGAACTTACAGAGAATGTGCCTGTGAATTTATATATATATATATATATATATATTGTATGTGATGTTATATTAACTTGTTTCAGACTCATAATTTTCTTTAATGCATTATTGAAATGTTTTCTTCGTATTTACCACTCAACTATTTTTCTGCTGTTCTTTTCTTTCTCTTACACAGCATTGTACTGGCAGTGTCAGTACTCTTAAAAACATTTTGTCAACCACATATGAACTAGTGTACCAAATGCTAATTTCAGTGCCTTTACAAAGTAAAGCATGAGTAAGCTCTAAAACTATTCTAGAAGATTTCGTATCGTTTGGATAATGAGCACCATAATCAGTGTCCTTTCCAGAGTATATGAGGAAATCAGTGTGTAGCATGAACTGCTTTTACATACAGTGTATTACTTGATGTCGAGTCACTACATTTTGTTGGAATAACTTGCTCCCACACTAAGGCATCCTCTCCACAGCCATAGACTCACCAACTTGTGTTTCTCTTTCCGGTGCAAGAGCCGACTTCTTTCCTTAAAGTATCAGAGGAGCCCTTTGAAATATTGTTCACAGAAGGGGTAATTTCATCAGAAAAGGAAAGGAGGTTTCAGCAGACTGCTTTGAAAATATTGTCTGTGGCAAGACTAGTAACATTTCTTTAAAAACTAAAATGTTTTAATATTTTGTCTTTTGTCAAAGTTTCCCAGAAACAAACTCACCCTGACCTTCAAATGTGGATGTGATTCACAGCTTTGCTAAGCGTCAAGGTTCATTTACTCAGCTATTGTGTGACATAGACTGCATCAACAAAGCACATAAAATAACTCATCTCATCATTTTGTCTGACTGGTACACTATCAGTAACGAGATGTGCCAGTCCACAAATATATTGGCGATGAAGGCTGGTGCAGTGACTGTAGAGTAAGATCTTCTGAAGCCACAGAATCCTCAACACTTTCATCATAGCTTGTGATTTTTATCTATAAAATATATACAGCTTCTGTTGCCCTCTCAGAACGGTTATACCATTAAAAATGTTTGTGATTAAAACTTATTCTGATTCACAATGCTCCCTGTAATCGAAAAAAAAACCCACAAATAAACAAGGTGCACTGTATTATAAAACACATCCGCTATAATAGGAAACTCGCACTATAAGAGAAAACACATGCTGTAATAGAAAACATGCGCTAAAATATAAAACGTTTACTATGTTAGAAAAGGCTTGCTGTAACAGAAAACATGATTAAAAGAGAAAACAGCAACTGTAATAGAAAACACCAGAAAATGCACATTGGAGTAGAAAACACTGCTTACATTAAAAACACACTGTAATAGAAAGCGCTAACTGTAATAGAAAATGCTTGCAACATTTTTAAAAAAGGTCCCATTTAAATAGAAAATGTCCACTGTAATAGAAAACATGCACTAAAATAGAAACAGATTACTATAGTAATTATTGTGATACAAAATGATGACAGTAATAGAAAATATGCACTGTAATCGAAAACATGCACTAAAATAGAAACAGATTACTATAGTAATTATTGTGATAGAAAATGATGACAGTAATAGAAAATATGCACTGTAATAGAAAACATGCACTAAAATAGAAACGGATTACTATAGTAATTATTGTATTAGAAAATGATGACAGTAATAGAAAATATGCACTGTAATAGAAAACATGCACTAAAATAGAAACGGATTACTATAGTAATTATTGTGATAGAAAATGATGACAGTAGTAGAAAATATGCACTGTAATAGAAACCATGCACTAAAATAGAAACGGATTACTATAGTAATTATTGTAATAGAAAATGATGACAGTAATAGAAAATATGCACTGTAATAGAAAACATTCACTAAAATAGAAACGGATTACTATAGTAATTATTGTAATAGAAAATGATGACAGTAATAGAAAATATGCACTGTAATAGAAAACATGCACTAAAATAGAAACAGATTACTATAGTAATTATTGTAATAGAAAATGATGACAGTAATAGAAAATATGCACTGTAATCGAAAACATGCACTAAAATAGAAACAGATTACTATAGTAATTATTGTGATAGAAAATGATGACAGTAATAGAAAATATGCACTGTAATAGAAAACAAGCACTAAAATAGAAACGGATTACTATAGTAATTATTGTAATAGAAAATGATGACAGTAATAGAAAATATGCACTGTAATAGAAAACAAGCACTAAAATAGAAACGGATTACTATAGTAATTATTGTAATAGAAAATGATGACAGTAATAGAAAATATGCACTGTAATAGAAAACATGCACTAAAATAGAAACAGATTACTATAGTAATTATTGTAATAGAAAATGATGACAGTAATAGAAAATATGCACTGTAATAGAAAACATGCACTAAAATGGAAACAGATTACTATAGTAATTATTGTGATAGAAAATGATGACAGTAATAGAAAATATGCACTGTAATAGAAAACACACTATATCAGCAAATATGCACGGGGGGGGGGGGGGGGGGGGGGGGGGGGGGGGGGGGGGGGGGGGGGGGGGGTGGGGGGGGGGGGGGGGGGGGGGGGGGGGGGGGGGGGACTTACTGCATAGAATACCTAGCATAGAACAAACATTTCATTTCTGTCATGACTATTTTCTGAAGGCAGTGTCCATGTTTGACATTGGTTGCATAGCATTGGTAAGAATATTTGGTTAAACAGTGCTATTTTAATGTTCATATTGATGTGCTTGACTTTCAGAATTAGTGCTATTTGGCCTATAAATTGGTTGGCTTTAGTTTTTCTGAAAATAATGCACCCCAGATATGTTAAAGTCCTTCGCCTGCTTTAACTAGTGTTCTTGGTGGTTCTTCTTTTTCTGAAGAATGTTATCACTTCTATTTTGCCTACATTGATCATCACACAAAAGTCGTTACATGATGAGTGGAGTCTGTTAATATGTTTTTGTAGTTGCTCTGCTGTTGGTGCTATGATTACCTACCTGGTCGTCAGCAAGAAGCATTTTATTTAGTAGTTCTCAAATGTTGTCCCTTTTCCTGGTTAGCTTATTTGCAAATTTGGTCACCATATGTGATGAACAGCAGTGGTGATGAGATAAGCACCTGTTTCACTCCAGATCTACTGTGGAACATGCTCTGTCAGTCCTGTGTTTGTTCTACCTGCACATTGACTGTTAATGTATAAACTTTTGCACAGTTCAGTAAAATGCTTGCTTACACTGTAATCCTGTAGGTTAATGATTTCAAGAACTAAAGTTCTGTCCAGAAATGAAGACATTTTCCACCAGAAAATTTGTCCAGAAAGTGAACTGTTCAAGGAATCCGGGGCCCTATTATAGAGAAAACAAGATTAGACCCACTGCCTACCCAAAAAACATGTAAGAGTCGACTAATTGAGAGTTTTCTTCGAAATCAGGAACCAACAGTCTGCTAGGGAATTTGTGAAAGTCAAAAGAAATTAAAAGAAATACTGAATTTAATATTTCTAATTCTGATGTCAAATCAGTACTGTTATATGGAGTGGAAACATGGAGAACAACTAAGGCAGTTACTAATAAACTACAATCATTCATTAACTGGTGCCTGTGCAGAATAGAGGGAATTAAATGGTTTGATAGAATAACTAATGTAGAGCTTTTTGAGAGAACTAAACATATTCCATTGGACCAAGAGGTGATGAAAAGACACTAACATTGAATAGGAGACACATTGAGAAAACTGGAGAAAATATTTTGCACTGGAACCTACACAGGCTTACAAATAAAGGAAGAACAAAAAATGCAAGGAGAAGGGAGTTAGAGAGAAGTTAAAAAGATAGGGAGGACCTGGGCAGAGCTGCTTGCGATAGCAAGGGATAGAATGACTTGTCGTGAGTTGGTTGAGGGCCTTTGCATTGTCTTAACTATTTTGTTTCAGTTTGTTCATTGTTTTGTTTATTTCATATCATAAGCTATTATCATCATCAGTTAACCTGTCAATATTATTTCAGGGATAAAAATGAACCACCTCAACCGTCCCGATTGTGCAAGAAGAACATGTTTGATAATTTCCGCCAGACATGCCAAGCATTAAAACACAGAGAGTTTCTTAGTGTATCATTGTATTCTGTGGCTAAGACAATGAGTCCTGAGTTCCGACAGGCAAAGGCAGCAATGATACAAAAATTCAGAACTACAAATTGTGGTGTTTGGTTGGGTAAACCCGTTGAAGAGGAAATGTTTGCCTAAATCTATACATTGTTGTTGCTGATATACTTGTAATTGTACAGAAGATTAAACAAAATATAATGTTTGCATAAACACAAACTATTGTATTACGGAACAATATTTTGATAAGGTGAGTAAATTTGTTTTTGTTTACCATAAATAGATCATTTGGGAATTTTTAGAAACATTTTTTGTAGCAGATTTACTCATTTTTTCATGTGTATGTTAATTGTTTTTGTTTTTTAATGTAACATATTTCAGTTTTGTTGTTGTTCATTTCTCTTCACTAGATGCTAAATATATTTAGTAGTAGATATCAAATATCGTTGAATAGTAGGAGTTTATTTGCTGTTTGTTTTAAGGATAGTTGAGATAAAATGTGTAGGTTTCGAAGACAAAAACTTAATGTATCAAAATGCTTGCAGATTTTTTAAAAGCAAATTTAAGTTAAGCAATGAAATGAAGCTATAATCTTTTTAACTAGTAAGAATTGAACGTTGAATTAAGAATCGACATCACAGAACTTGGGACACCCCCATAAGCACCACGTCCCCATCTTCAGCAGCAAGCGAAGAGTTCCAGTTCTGATAGTACCAGTAACTGTCTGATTGTATATCTGTCTCGCTCTTTCCCTGAGTGTTGAGCACCAGCCAGATACCCTTGTAACTCCTCGCAGCGCCATTCTCCCCAGACCGCAATGATCTATCTGTTCCTCGGCACTGTTCACTCGCCCCCAAAGGGCCCTCACAACATCCAGCTTGTCATATATAAGTTCACCACCCAGCGGTGCAAAACCAGCCAGTCTGTCCGCCTGCTCATTTCCCAACACACCAGCATGACCTGGAGAAAATATCCAAAGGATGCTAACTACACGGGACCTCTCAAGTGATGATTGTCACTCTGCACAGATCATGCCTGTCTTCACCTTTCTCAACATGCTCTGTGAGTCAGTTACAGTCACAGCGTGTGTGTACAGCTGATTCTCAAGCTAGTGAGGTTTTAGAAACTCATATTAGGGGAATTAATAAATAACACAGATGTGGTTTGGACATGTGTCAAAACTATCACTAGATAAGCACCACCACAGGCCTTGTCATTTGGACATATCACAAGCAGAGCCAGAGGTTGACCACACAAACAGTTGATTGATGAGATATCTGAGTCTGTAAATACCAGCTTCTACGTAGCACATACCAAAGCTCGCACCTGATGCCTTTTCCAAACCTGACACTGAAGGGCAGACAGGACAAAAGAAGAAGTGTCAGAGAACTAAATGGATTCCATCCCCTGGCAGGTGTACAGTAGCGGACATTACATATGATTTTTTTTTTAAAGATAATTAAACCAGACGAAAAATAGAACCAATCAGCTTCACATTATCACAGAGGACAAGTGAATGTTGTAACTGGAGAGCCTTCACTAGCACATTACATGTATATACAATACCACAAATATGGGCAAGAATGCACGCAATCACTTGAAATGGTAATATGAAAAACTACAGTACAAACGAGCTTAGATAGGCACACACAGATAGTAGCAGTTCTGGGAGAGCGGGACACACAAGAAGTGAAATTAGTGAACTGCAGTGAAGCTATGGAAATATTTCAAATCATACAAAGAATGGAACCAGTCAGTTTTACATTATCACAGATGGCATGTGAATGTTGCAGCTAGAAAGCAAACACTGAAGAATGATTTCTTCTTCTTATAGTCCACGCCGTATGAATGTTGGTAGTCATTACTATCCCAGCCTTCTGTTATGTATTTGCAATCATTTATAAATCAGATATCTCAAGTGCCATGCTGCCAAACTATCCATCATCTTCTCTGCCCCTTCTCCCATACAGCTTTCCCAAGAAAACAGTGTATTCCAGTTTTCTCAGTCTCATGGCGAGACCAAAGAGTGTAAATGATCTCCTTTTTTTTTTTTATGTGGGTAATCAGTTGTGTTCGTGAGTTAATTTCTTTCAAGACATTTTCACTGCTCTTTTTTATCTGTCCAGGGTTTCTCATTATTTATCTATGAAACATCTCTTCTGCCACTTCCACATCATTTTTCACTAATCAGATAACTGTCCATAATTCAGATAACTGTCCATAATTCAGATAACTGTCCATAATTCAGATAACTGTCCATAATTCAGATAACTGTCCAGAGAGATAACCAGGCTTCTCTGTCTGCAGTTTTCTTGTTAGCTTTGTTCCATTCCAGTCCTCTCTGTCAGGGCCTATCAGATATTGTCTTCCCAGGGAACCCTGGCTCATCCTGGTGGTCTGCTTCTGTGGTTCTTAGCCTCCTATGCCTGCCATAGTTGACAGTTGTCTCCCATTCTGCATACATGTGTGTACAAAACATCGTAACTGTGACTGATCCACTCGAGTTTGTAGGGCCTGTGTTTCAAGGTCATGACATATTGTCTGATTGCCAACTTTGTCCCTTGTCGCTTGGACCACCTTTCTCAGATATGTCATTTCTGAGGTCTGAAGCTGGATTCTGTGAGCTATCATTGCCCATAACTCACACACATGTGTCATGACTGGCACATAGTTAGAGTGGTTTATAGCCATTTTCATCATCTTGCTTATTTCTCCTGCTGAGAAAATTTTTGTGGTCTGGAAAAATCTCCCATCAGCTGCTTTTCAAGTAGCCAGCTCTGTCTTAATACCTCCATTTCAGACCCCAAAGTATTTGAATTGGTTGACCAGCACCAATGCATCTTGCCCTATCATGACCTGTTGTTTCTTTTCTCTTGAAATCACCATGGTTTTAGTTTTGGAGATACTGATGATCATCCCTTTCTTTTCGGGTTTTTCCTTCCAAACAAGCAAATTTGATTAAAGATCATCATCATCAGGTGCCTTGCAGACTGGCATGGGCGATCATTCCTCTCCATAATCTGCGATCTCCTGCAGCATGTATCAGTTCGTGTGCCAACACACCTCCATGCCATGCAACAAGACTGTCAAGCATCTTCTCTCATTGTCTTCCTCTATTCCTCCTTCCACAGATCTTTCCAGTGGTCACAACATGTTCTTTTTTCCCTCTTCTCATAACATGGCCGAAAAATGATGACTGTCTCCTTCTGATGTCTGTGATAAGTTTTGATTAAAGATATGCTTCTATTTAGCAATTAGGACCACATCATCTGCAAATGCCAGCACTGATATTCAGGGTGGTCTCATATTCGAGTACTCTACTTCTTTGTCTTCTCCTTACAGATCTTGATGACATTATCCATCAGAAAAAGAAAAAGTGAATTCTTCTGACTTGTGGTTTCCTCTCTTACGTAATTTCTGCAGCTTTTATAGAAACTCTGTATTGCACTGGTCAGGGGTGCTGGTATGTTGTTCCCTGCCAAGCAGTCCCAGAGCTTGCTCCAGGGAACCTTATCAGATGCCTAGATCCAGGAAACATAAGTACATCTCACTCTTATATTCTAGGACTTGTTCACTCATCTGTCTGAGTGTGAAGATAAGGTCTTGAGTACTTTGGTTTGCTCTGAAACGGTATTGGATCTGATCTTCTTGAAGTTCCACCAGACATCTGATTCTCTGTTTGAAAATTCTAAAGTAGATTAGTATATGGTAACCAGAAAAACTATAGATGGCAATAAGCAAATGGTCACAAAGAAGTGATAAATAGGGAAATAGTTTTCTTAGAATTTAAATTCTTACTGAAGACAACCACTAGCTCTTGGACATAACCTAAACAGTTGTTACTGGATCATTTAAAGATGTAGACACCAGGGAAAAAAAGTGTGAACGCATTATTTTAACATCTTGTATCAGTCGTTCATCCAAATCCACTTAAGACAAGTCTTCCACAACTGTTTTGTGCAAGGTTTGCTATCTGAAATGATGAACAGGGTTGTCTCCTCTGGTGTGCCTATTTGCACACACTGACAATAGGCTTCTGTTGACTTCATCTCAGTTCTAGTATGTAATTCAAAGGTATTTCCTAGCAGTTGTACCAATTTTAACTGTGCTTGTGTGGCAGGATACCTGCTCCTACTTTTGTGTCTTACCTTACAATGTCTCCATGATTAAAATACTGTTTTTAAGCCATTTAAACAGGTCCTCTTCACAGGTGCAAGAACTCAAGCCTCCAGCAAGAACTAATGACAATCTGATGTAGAGTGTTAGAGCTTTACCAAGAAGTTCACCATTTGTTGACTTTTACTGACATAGTGCACTTCTGTTCACTTCTTGTGTCCCATCCAGTTGATACATTAATGCACTCAACTCCAACTGGTACTTTAACATCTTCTGTTTGAAGGACTAACAGTTTTGATACATTAAGGCCCACATATTTAGTTATAACTTAGGACAGAACCAGCTGTAACACTTTTCTGCTACTGGAAGAGTTTAAATTAAGTTACCGTTTGGTTATATCTAAATAAACACAGATTTTCTTATTGTTGCTATACACTTTATGTTTTCATTTATATTAACAAGTTTGTGTCTTTTATGTCACATTTTATTTTGTTTTGATCTTCGTTGGTACTACTAGTATACTTTGCTGAGATTATCTTGTCATCCTCGGAATGAGACTGGAGCACTTGTGAATTTATCTATGCAGTGACAGCAATCCTTAACCAAAACCTTGTTTTATTATCTCGCAAATTGCCTTTGAATGGATTTGCTGATGTATATGTTTTGTGACAGGGATATATTACTTAGTGTAACAACTTTGTGAGTACAGTAGAACCTCGTTTAACGAGCACCTCGCAAAACGAGTAATTCGCATAACGAGCAAAACAACTGTAAAAAAATGACTTACTTAACGTTTCGCATAACGAGCGGCGAGGAGAGGGGAAGTCCCGGATTGTGCAGATGTTACATCAGTCTGTGTTTAACACTCGTTCCAGTAGCATCGTAGTATCGCTTGTGATCACACATTCTCTCAAACTTGTGTTAAATTGTGATATATGTACATGATTCCTCCAGGCCTACAAGATGACCTCCCTGAAGAATTTAAGTTCATCAGGATCCAGTTTCTGCCTCCCAACACCACTCGA